GTGACAGTCTGGCCCATGGTGTCCAGGGGCTCAAAAGCCCCCAGAGAGACATTCCCATTGACTCACAATAGGATAAGGGAAGAGGGCTGTGCCTGTGTGATCTCAGGGAAAATGCAGTGTAGAGCTGGAAAAGGAGAGGAGGGTCTCTCCAGAAACCCCAGGCAAGGCAGGCAGGAACTTCTCTTTAAATACTGCAACCCCACAGCTTTTCCTTGGAAGTGCTAAAATATTCTTGGATGCAGTTTTGCTTTGGTTTTAATGTCAGTTGACCCTTAGAGACCCCAAAAGCCTTTTCCTGAACAGACCAGGCTGCTGTGTCCTTTCTTTAGAGAAACTCTGGGCTGTTCCTGAGTGGGTAAAGTGTCTCTTGGAGTAACTCCCATTAAAGGTCAAGGAAAGGGCCCCTGAGCAAGGAGGGAAGGTGAAGATCTGCTGTGTCCCACACAGACTGAGTTACTGATGTTTTAGATGAAGAAACTGCCCAGCCTTTTTGCCTTACTTTTGGCCTAATTTGACTCTTTCAAATTTCCAACTTTAACTGGTTAGGGGATGTTTCTTTGCTTTCTGTGTTAAACCTTTATGAAACATTCTTAAATAATTTCTGTTTTTCAATTCCAGACTGTATTTAATACATTTTTTAATTCTGTCATTTGCTCCTTGATTTCTGGTTTGGTCAGAGAGCAATAGTGCATCTGTCTATTTGCAACTGGCCATATTGCACGACACTGCTTATTTCACCATTTGCTTCTAGTAGTGATGAATAATTGCTCAAGGCAGCATGTGAAATCTCCCTGGGAAATTGTACAGGATGAGGTTTAAATGCCAAAATTGGGATTTTGCAAGAACATTCATTTATCTACTTGTCTTTGGAATTGCTTCATATTTAATTTAAAGAGTTAGTAAAAACGCAGCATAGACCAACATAGGTTGATGATAAATTTTACTGAGACCCAACAGCCTCCACACAGAGCAGAAGAGAGACAGATAAATGACTGAAAGTATGATCAAGAGAAGAATATCGAGGAGAAAAATCTTTCTTATGGGTACACAGTTCTATGAATTTTCTTCCTCAAACTTTGTCAGGAAAAATCACAGTAATAAACAGGCAGTTCATTAATTCTGACATTCAATCATGAAACATGTCGTTCTAAGAAGTTTGATCCTGAGAAGTTTGATCCTCTTAAGAAGTTTGATCCTGAAAGAAAAGGAAAAAGTGATTAGATTTGCACTGAGAAAATAAGAAATTAGCTGAAATGCTTCCAACTAGTTTCAACTAAAAAAATCCAGACTTATGTCAAGAGCTAGAGCCCAGAACCTTCTTGAAAACAGCTGGTCTCCAGGTTGTATGCAGAAGAGTGACAGACCTGCTGCATTTCCTTATGTACGTATTCACTGATGTATAAAAAGTCATAGAATACCACAGGATTTCAATAATTGACTTGCTCACCTTTGCTTGAATCATTTTTGTAGTCTTGTTAACCTGCCCTTGTTTTGGAACACAAAGGCTGTCAGCAGCAGACTCACCAGGAGCTGGGTAAGCCAGGTAAGAGGGAATTCCTCTGCACAAAGCTTGGATGCGTTTTCCATAAGGACTCAAGCTCTGAAGTCTGTTCCTCGAGATGATGAAGCGATTCTCTCTGGGTGGCAGTGGGTGAGGCTGAGATCCCTGAGCATCAAAGAAACAAACCCAGAAAACAGCATTTAAGAAAACCAAGAACAGAGCTCAGAGCCTGGGGATGAAGGGATGGAGAGCAGCTCTGGGGAGAAGGACTTTGGGGGTGCTGGTGGGTGAGAGGCTGGACCTGCCCCATCGATGTGCACTCCCAGCCCTGAGCCCTCCCGTGCCCTTGGCTGGTCCCACAGCGTGGGTAGCATGAGGGGGGTGGTTCTGTCCAGAAGAGGCCACAAAATGATCAGAGGGATAGAGCAGCTCTGCTGTGGGGAAAGGCTGAGACAGTTGGGATTGATCAGCCTAGACAAGAGAAGGCTCCAGGATGACCTAATTGTGGCTTTCCAGGACCTGAAGGGAGCCCACAAGAAACATGGAAAGAGACTATTTACAAGTGCCTGGAGTGCCAGAACAAGGGGGAACGACTTCCCACTGCCAGAGGGCAGGTTAGATGGGATATTGGGAAGGAATTCTTCCCTGTGAGGGTGGTGAGCCCTGGCTACAGCCACAGCCTCAAACAGAGAAGCTGTGGCTGCCCCATCACTGGAAGTGTTCAAGGCCAGGCTGGACAGGAATGGAGGTTATTCATGGGCAATGCAACTTTTGCAAGGACTTTGAGAGAGATTCAACTATAAAGCCAAGAAAATTCTCTTCAGCTCTTGGGGTCTTTTCTCCTTTGCATGAAGGAACAGGCAATTGATTGGCTTTTCACAGGCAATCAATTGGCTTTCACACCACTTTCATCCACCATCCTACCGTGTCTCCTTGAGGTGGTGTAGGAAACCGTTTGCCAAGCCAAAACCTCCTGCTCGTTGAAGCAATGATGCAGGTGTTCTTTGAAAACACTTTAGTTGCAACGTAGCCCTGTTAAAATTAAACAGAAACCCCCTTTTTGTTGCAAACAGAGAAAGAGAAGTGGATTGCTAGAGAGAGGCACTGGTTAAAACAAAGGCTTTGTAGAGTGCAAATAGTCATAGGGAAAGAAAAATATTGGTCCTTTCAATTATATTGTTTCGGTAAATGTGTCATGGAGGCTGTTGCCTCTTCCAGTAATGCCACGTGTGTGATGTGTTCTCCTGCTTAAGGCAGGTGAAGGAATTTGCTACTGGAAAGCTCAATGCACTCACAGTACAGCAGAACCAGTCCCATGGCTGCAGGAGCACATTTTTAAGAATCTCCTCTAAAATCTGGTGAAGTTTTGTTGAAGCTTCAGTGTTTTTCAGAAACCTTCTGTCTATTGTCATTTTTTTGGAGCCATAATGGCAGCTACTTACAGTCTTGAAGTCCCAGACAGTTTTCCAGGCCTCAGAGCCCTCCTTTGGGTCGGTGTCAGAGTGGTTTGAGTTGTCACTGTGGTGCCCATTCTCAATGTTCTGATTTTTGGAAAAGATTAAAGGAGATAAGGATGAAGCTTTGGGGATTCCCAGGAGTGTTTCACTCAATAAAACAATAGCTCTAGTAGACATGTTTTGGGAAATTATTGCTCTTGGAGATCATTTTAAAGGGGAGATAATTTCTGACATCAGAATGAAGACTTGGAAGCCCTTTAGTTTCTAAGCAAGTAAAATAATTCCTTGTTGTTCTTTCCCCACCAGGAGTTTGCAGATACCAGATTACTCACAGTATTCCCCTGGATTTTGTGGTCAGATCATTCATGCTGATATTTATTTCTCTCCACACCACTACTTACAGTGGTTTTGCTCATCTCAGGACAGACTTTCCTGATTTCATATATGGTAACTGTTTTTTTCCCTTGGTACATCAAGCACATTAATATTTCCCTTGGTGTGTAATAATAATAAAAATGTAATTTTTTTCTAAGCAACACACTTAAAAATGCAGCTTCACTCACAGAACTGTGTTTGTCAGAAGCAACAGCTAAAGGCCACTAATTCTTGTGGCAGAAGTGAAGAGCTGTGTGTAGCTCTATCCTTACCTTGTTGGCAAGAGCTGGAGCCAGGAAAACTCCAAGAAGAGAAGCAATCACAATCTGAAATGAGTATTTGAATTCACAACATTTTAACATTGTACTGCTTATCTTGCATCAAGTTATTTGTTGTCTTTAAATAATTTTTACTTCCATTTAACTTTGTACACAGGATCAGCACTTTCTGCAGTGGGATCTGGCTGAAGAGGATTTAAATATGCAGGAGAATTTTTTTTAATGAGTTTCCATGAGATCATCAATGCACAGAAATTGCCCTGAACCAATAGGTTCTAAAACGTGCCCAGCCCCAGTCCAGTAAACTCCGTGGAAAAAGGTGTTCTGAAATAATTTCTTTGAAAGAGTGAGCTTTTCACCTTGAGCTTTTGATCAGACATGGAGCAGATCCATGAAAGATCCAGGAACACCTGTTGTGAAGAGCTGGAACGTGGGTGCCAACTCCAGCTCTGTAGTCAACAGCAATGGAACCTGAGCACCCTCACAGAGATTTCATCCTCCGAATACAGAGCTAATAATCTAAGGGTTAGCACAAGTCTTTCTGTTCAAAGAAATGTGACATTAAATATTTCTATCCTCTTTATAAAGTCAGAGTTTCAGTGACTCATGTGCTTGTTATTGTCCAAACTAGTGCTGGTCTCTTTTGGAGAGATTTAATATTGTTATGAAGATAAATTCTTTTGCGATAACTATTGTTTACAATTATTCTCTTGGAGACAATCCCTTGAATATTGAATCAGTCCCAGATTTCATCTCCTTCAAAGGAGGATTTTGATGAGAAAGATCCAAGTGTGACTCAGAATATTTAACACTAACACTTGGGAATTTATCCTGCACAGTTCCAGGCTGCTGTAAATACCCTGGCACCACCGTCCTGCATGTGGAGTCTCTCATGGTTCTTCTCCTACGCTCTCAGCACAGCTGTGCCCTCACTTTATGGACCTTGACAAGACTGTTGACTTGCCTCTGAGTTGTGAAGGAGAGAATATTGTCCTTTGGACATTCCACGTGCGTGTGGCACCCCTGAGAAAGAGCACTTCTCTCTTTCATGTTTGAGTAGGCAGATGGAGTCACATCCCTGCCAGAAGGGACATTTCACCCATGCAGTCCCCACCCCTCTGGCATTTTCTCTCTGTGATCCTTGCAGAAATCACTAAGAAATCACTTGGTGCCAAGAAAGACTCAAAATCATTTAAACTGTTCAGCCTTAAGAGTTTTATGAGAAAGTGATTTGTCTACTTACAGTGAACTTCATTTTGATGGTAGGCCAGGCAAGGTCTGCTGGTAATTGATGTGTACTCTTAGTTTTTATACATGATACCCCAAAGTTAAATGTGAAAATGGGTTTACCTTATTGGCAGGTGCCCTGTGTTCACAGAAGCATGACGGGGTTCCTGAGGAAGTGCTCTGATAAGAGGAGGCTTTGATAGCAGCCTGATTGAATTCATTGCGTAGAGGGAGATGAAAGAAAACTTGTCATGGTAAGTCCAGAGTATTTAACAGTAACTTTTAAATGGAAAAGAATAATGATCAGAACCAGAGACCAGATTCCCAGTAAACTTGTAATAACACTTTGTGCCTGTGTGGCAAAGGACTCAGCCTGACGTTGT